ACTGTTTTCCATAGTGGTTGTATCAATTTATATTCCCACCAACAGTGCAGGAGTGTGCCCTTTTCACCACACCCTTTCCAGAATTTATTATTTGTAGACTTTTTAATGATGGCCATTCTGATTGGTGTGAGGTGACACCTCATTGTAGCTCTGATGTGCATTTCTCTAATAATTAGCGGCGTTGAGCATCTTTTCATGCGCCTGTTGGCCATCTGGATGTCTTCTTTGGAGAAATGTCTATTTAGGTCTCTGCCCTAAATGAGATAACGTTTATCAAAGGTTTAGCACAAATGGTGACTAGAACATAGAACATAGTAACACTTACTCGATAAGTGCAGTTATTATTATCTGAGACAGCAATGAATGTATTTGTCTTATAGACTCTTGGGAACTACGCAACCAGGGAAGCAGGACTCCTGGTTTATCCATGTTGGTCCGGGAGCATTTGGAGCAGTTTATATCAATATTCTAGAAGAGAAATGGATATTAAACAGAGAAGGTGGGATTCAGATTAAACATAAAGTAGAACTTTCAAGAAGTAAGGATTAGTAAGCCCTGAGTAATAGAATCATTTTTTCTCCTTAAAAGTCTGTACGAAAAAATACAGAATCTTGTAATTTGACTAGTTTAGCATGATCCTGTTTAAGGGCACAAAGATAGATGAATTGGTCTCATTATCATATTTCCCATTATCTCGGTAATTGTTTGAATCATTCACTGTTCACTGGACTTTTGGAAATGGATACAGACTGTCAAGTACCCTGGTGTCCCTTGATGATGGTGGATAATGATTAGCCATATTATACTCAGAGAATTTATGGACAGAGAGAGTAAGGGGTTTACCTCAACACAGTCATGTTAGTGAGGTGGGATTTGAACTGCCTCAGGAGGAGGGGCAGCTATTTCTCTGAGCTGGTGGTGCTGCCTTTTTGCATCATCAGAGAGAAGGACGTTTAAGAATCCCTTTAGCTCCTGCTCTAGAGTACCTGGGTTTGCAAATCCTGGAATCCCTTCTCCCCGGTCTCCCTTTTTCTAATGAAAGAACAGTGCCATTCAGGTAAAGAAGTACTCTCTAGACTTGGCCAGCAAATTGATTTTAATTGGAATGCCAACTCCAACCACTTAGTGGTGGCTATCTAAAGAATGTGTTGAAAAGGATCCTGAGGTCTTGTCTCAGAAAGAGTGCTGACACCGGCGTAGCACAGAGGATAGGCAGTGATTGTGCCACATGCTTGTATTCATTAACCAGCATACTGAAAGGTCTCAGCATGGTGACTGATTGCACCTGGTAAAACAGAGAGCAATATCCTATGGGAATGAGAACAAGGTGGTTATGCATTGATGAAGTGACGGAGGAACTGGAGTTTGAGTCGCATTGGAGAAGCCAGACCTAAAGTCCTTTTACACACATGGTATTTGATTTTTGTAGAATTTCATGTGACTGATGAGGAGACTGAGGCACGGACAAGTGAAGTCACTCTTCCAAGATCACACAATTAGGAAATAGCCGAGCTGAGATTTGAACACAGGCAGGCAGTCTGGCTTCAAGGCCCTGAATTTATCACCCAAGACTCCCAGCTTAGAAGTCTAAACACTGTGTGCTTCTCAGTATGTGGCTCCTTTGGTATCTGACAGTTTTCACAGTGTGCCACCCTGGGGTGCCTGGTATCCCAAGATCCCCTATCCACCACGAAAAACCAGAAACTGTATTTTGTACAGACTTCCTTTGCTCTCATAGAATCACCTTGGGCAAGTCACTTGACCATCCTACACCTCAACTTCCTCACCTTTAAAATGCAATAACAACAGCTTCCCCTCCCACCTTACCTGGCTGCTTTTCATGTTCAAAAGAGACAATATTGTGCAAATGGAAACTTTATCAACATTCTAAGAACTTAGAACAGGAACATGCTGGGAAATGTTGATTGATCTGGTGGGGGTAGGATCCCTTCTACCTCTCCCCTGCATGTGACTCAATTCAGACCACGGTGTCATGACTAAGGATGGTGTCAAATGTCCCGGGCTACTTAAAGAGCCAGTTCTCAATGGCATTTCAAATGACAGCAACTTCAGGGAAGTGGGAAATAGTGCCTGAGAGTGATGGGAGAGTGGGGAATTTGGGGCAGGAGGGAGAGAAGGGAACACATCTGGGCCTAGCCTCCACTTTCCTTCACCTCCAAGCTCCCCAGCCCTTACCTCCACCTGCTGGCGGGGCAACCCACATCAAGAAGCCAGCAAATGCATCTCTAGTTGTTGACCAGAAGGGGTCACTGCAGAGCAAGCAGTGCTCTCAGGCGCTCACACAAGCAGGCACGCAAATATCCAAATACCCAAAAATCCAAATGTAGATACACTTCTGGAAGGATGCTCGGTTACCCCAGAGTTCTCTCTGCCTTCCTCCTCCCCCTTCTCTCCTCTTCCCCTCCTGTTGCCTTTCAGCGAATTTCGGAAGTTCACATTGGTGCCCTGGTCCCTTTGGTCCCCATCGCTATCACCATCAGCAAGAAGTTTATTCCCACTGTGGCCAAGACCCAGTGCCAGGTGCTGGGAGGCCTTTAAGACTTGGCGAAGCCTCCTTCCAGGAATGCGAAGTCTGGGGAGTGGAAGTAGCAACTCTGCTGAGATTAAAGGACTCCAAGGGAGAGATGGGCTGAGGGGTCCCGTGTCTCTTTTCCTTAATGAAAACCCTGGGCGTGAAGGAGAGAAATTCTGCCCAGACCCTCTGCGTCTAGGTTTTATTGTGATTCGGAACTTCCACTTTCTGGGATTAGGGCTGGACTGGGAAGGGGTAGCAGATGGGGAGACAGACAGAAGAGTATCCCCCTATAATCTTCCGATGTCCCCGTCAAAACCCACCCTCCAAAGCTTTCCTTTCCAAAACGGACTCCTCTCCCGAGACAAGCTGTCTTAAGGAAAAGCGGCTGCAGCAGAGTTCCGCAGGAGTGGATGGGGTGGGGTGGAGTGTGGGCACTCTTTCCTTTGGGTGGGTTTGGCAGCAGGACGTTGGGCTGGCTGGCAGTGAGGCACAAAAGAGATAGCCCTTAGAGCCGCGTGCACAGATGCAACGCTGCACCCCTCTGCGGGCGGGGCCGGCTCGGCAGATGGCGAGAGGCCGAATTGTTGACGGATGGTCCATCAAACGGCACTTTCCGGGTGGTGGGGATCTCGCAGCACCCAGGCGCAAAGAGGAATTCCGAAGACGCCCCCCCACC